CAGGGCAGCTTTTCACACTGCTGGGGACAGCACAGGTGCTGGCCCCGGGCTCTAGCTCCCCCTGGCTGCAGATCAGGGAGGAGCCAGGCAGGGTTATTTTGCCCCAAGTGGCACAATTTGATCCTCAAAAAAGTGCATGTCCGAGCATGTGCGCTGAGGCAAAAAGTCCTGGCTCAAATTTGCACCACTTCTTTTTGAGCTGCTGCAAGTGCATGTGCTTGCATGTGTTGATGTTTTGGTAACATCGAGAGACCAGAAGGGTGGGGCCCTTTGGAGAAGGAACAGAAAACTGCTTTACAGCATCTTGGCTAGCAGGTTTTCCTCATATACAGCAGGAGCTGGTGCAACAGAGAATATATGTGTGGATGGGGGGGAGGCGGAGGGGTAGGATTACCACCTTTCAGCCGTCTAGGCCTTTGCTGCTAGCCTAAAGTGTGACTGCTCCAAACTCGAGCTAGCACTAACACCCATTAACATTTGTGTGGCTCTCCATGTAAGGTGTAATAAGGCCCTTAGTTCTTGCCTGAAGATCTCATAAGATACTGTGATTCCTATCACTGTTTGGTATCAGCACTAGATAGAAATTTTGCTTATAGGTAAATCCAATTAACTCCCCTATGAACTGTTATAGCACAAGTGCAGAAGTGCAAAATTTCCCCAAGTATGAATGTGAATAATTTTGAATATCTTATTCCCTTAGTTCCACACTATAAAATCATTACTGCAAGTGAAATGACAATGAAGAAATAAACTGGTTTAGGCAAAATATAAACCAGGACAAATTTTTGCCCATCTCTACACCAAACTATGGCAAGTCCCTCCAACACAGAGGTTTAACAAATATGGTCACTGATCATGGAGAGTCCCCGTAGAATTCTACCATTGTTACTGAGCTGCTGCAGATAACAGGAGTTAGAAAAATAGGGGTTCCTATCCTTTAAACCAGGCTCGAGCTTCATATAAGCATCTGAAATCTTTGGATCTTTCTCCAAATTTCTATCCAGGACAGAAAAACTGGAGAAAATCAAGGCAGTATTGGTTTCCCTCCCCAGACAGGAACTTAAAGTATCCCATTTTTCCTTGAAGTTAACTCAACATTTTTAGAAAGGCAAATCCAAACTAAATATTTTATAAGTGAACCATGAATGAAATAATAGAAATTAAAGACAATCTACTATCTAAAGAAAGAAATTAAATAAGAAAAACTAAAGGCAATTAATTTGGTAACATAAAAGAGAAGTATAAAAGCCAGAAAAATTAAGAGTAGCTTCAACATGGCAAAGCAATGAGTGAGATGGTCTCCATAGCACTAGAAATTGATTTATTTGACAGTGACAACTGGCAACAGAACAAACAGAAGTGTAGATATGTGGTAAATAAGACACACATCTATAAGGCACAGGACTGATGCCACTTTTTAAAATATTGTATGTTAGTTAAACCCATTATTACCCATCCTAATTCCTTCATCAAAGCTCTGAAAGTGATTTACCAAGTGAACCAGAAAATCATCAGAATTTGTTTCAATTTTTATTGTTGCCAGATCAGTGTAACTTTTGCATTTCTGAAGATTTAACCCTTCTGAAAACTAAAATCCAAAACAAAATGTTGGCAGAAACATGATAAAGAATTGGGGGGGGGGGAATTCTGTTTTTTGTTGTTTGGGGGGGAAGGGGTTTAAACCCACGGGAGCAATTTCTAGCTATGAATCTGCAAAGCAGACTATTGAAACCAATTCCAGGATGGAATTTATCCCTTGATATTTAAAAAAAAAACAAACAATGGTTTATGTAACCTTTCTCTTAGAAACAGCAAAAGGGTTCATTTATTTCCAAGTTTTTCTTCCTAGGATTTACAGGTGCACTCACTGAAAGTTCTTGTGAATTATGGAAGAGTGGTTTTCTATAAAATGCAAACACCCACCCAAACAAAAAAATCTGTCATGATATACATTCAGATGCTAATACTTTGCCATTGCCGATGAACTGTACGGATTGTTTAGAATAAAAGCTGCATTAAAGTGCATTAAGATTTATTTGACCATTTTGCTGCCAACATATACATATTTAAATCAAAATCCAATCTCACCCCTCAACACTTATCATGTTATCTTTTCACACATTTATGAAGTATCCAAAGCCTGCTTTAGCCTGATAAATAAATCACCATTCTGCAAAGCAAATAATCTGAATGTTTAAGCATCTGTTATGTGGCACTTGACTCTACTATTGAAATTTGATTGGAAAAGAGAAGTTGCTTAACAGTAACTGAAGTGCTTTGAGAGATGCTGCCCTTAAGAAAATTCCCACTGTTGACACCCGAAGTGGGAATGTTCACAAAGGCAACGTGTCTCATGAGCCTTGAGTACTAAAGTTCAACAGTGTTTTTGCCCTAACAATAGCCACACAGTGAGCATGCACCCTTCAACCTCCTTGTGCTCTGTACTATGGGCATAAAGGATGCCAGCATGCTTCTTGCTCTCAGCCACAGAATCTCAGTGTGCCCAGGCCAGAAGAAAAGGCAGAATGAAAAATGTGTATAAAAACAGTACATTTCAAAGAACTCCAGTTACCAAGAACTTCTCTCTCACTCTCCTTTGAGTAGGTCTCCATATGGCAGAATACTTGATGAATATGCATAGGGAATTCCTTGCAGGTGTCTGTCATGGGAAAGAATCCCAGAGACAGGCTACCAAATATATCTGGGCTCTGCTGGAACAAGCTCTAATCACCAAGTGGCCACTTCAGAGACTTCAAAGCATATCTTAACATGGCTCAGGGTCTAGTTAGATGGTCTTGAGGTGAAAATCACTTTGCCTTTTGATCTGTCAGCTAGCATAACACACAGCAATGGGGAAAGCTTAGCCTTATGAAAGTAAAAGGACAAGGCCTCCCTAGCGCCTAAGTGTGTGTAGCAATGACTTCACTTTCAAAAAGTGCATTCTGATGGATGAATTTGTTAACTTGGATGGAATTCCATAACAACCTTCAGGAAGAAATTAAGGTGACCCTACAAGGGCAGTTTTTTCAAAATATAAGGTAAACCCACTAGCAGAGCCTGGACCCCACCCAGGTATCTAGCCAAAGTAATAATCACCAAGAAATCAGCTTACATAGACCGAAGGAGAAAAAAGCAGGTTGCCCTTGGTACAAATTGAAGGGCTATCAGTTCTGAAAGAACTAAGGTAACATCACACTGAATGATCACATTTCTCACCAGAGGAAATGCTTTGCTTATATCCTTGAGGAGCCTGAGTACTGCCAGATGGAAGAATACCAATTAACCGTCTTTCAGTTTGTTTTGAGATATTCTAGAAATGGAACAGACAGTGATTTTCCCCTCTAAACTGAAGGAGTTGCTTGCTTAAACTGAGATTATCCACCAATGTTCAACCCCTAGCTGATCTCTTTTAGAAGCCAAGTTATAATCCTTCTAAAAATGGTTCTTTATAGGGAAAATGACCTAGAATGTTACAATACAGTAGATGAAGTTATTAGTAATGCAGCTGGGACTAGGTGATATTCATGTTGATCTCCTCAAACATATTTGGGAGTCTTGTTTGTGCCCTAAGTAACATACGTCGTCACAGCAAGGATTCACACATGAAACTGGAAAGTATATTAATTGCCAAAAATGATAACGCTCTTTGCTTCAAATAAGGAAAAAAAATAAGGAAAAAAACCCCACTCACTTACCTCTAGTATGATCAGCACATAAACACCTGCTAAGATGATTGATGCAATCGTTACTTGTGTCTCTATATTTGCATGAAGATACTGATACTTCATAGACAGAGGAACAATTTCAGACTCCTTTAGGAAAGCCTGAATGTTTATGGAGATGGCCTTACTGTGGAAAGAAAGAAAAGTTCTGCTTCACTACAGCATGAAACCGCATTAGTTATAAAAGCAAAGATTAGAGAGAGAGAGCTTTAAATACTATAAAATTATTTCCTTATTAAATTTAAAAGTTGCAAGTAACTTTTAGGAATCTTTACTACCAAATCTGTAGAAAATATGTTTTGGAATGTAAAATGATCCAAGAAATAAATAGGATGATTAGCTTTCAAAACTTACTTAAAAACATTAGTAAAGCTTATGCGGTAAAGCCAAACAGAAGACATCTAAGTAATGAAACTTTATAGTTTTTATTTTTAAAGTAAATAAAATACCTTTTTACAGTAATCAAGTCTAAAAGTTCATATGAAACATTTGTTTTTTTCTAATCTGAGAACCAACCTGTTTAGTATCTCAAAGGTTTTAGTTGTGGTAACTTGCTCATTTCTTCTTGAAAGTAAAGGTAGAGTCCAGTTATACAAGACCTGCAAGGAAATTAAATTTATATTAATAATTAGAGGTAAGTGAAAATGGTTTATGGTACTGTTCACATATTTTACATAGCTTGTACATACTTGGGACCAAACAGTAGTGTGGATCCATTCACATATAACATTCACGTCAAAGGAAATTGAAGCAGAAATAGATATGTCTGCATATGTGAGCGTGTGCAAAAATCCACATTTTACAGCCAAAAAAAAGGTTAAAACCATCACCTGCTGCTGCCATCTTCTCCTAGATCTAGGGTCTTCTATCTCTCCAATTTGCACTGTAATATATTCCTCTGTCCACCGATCAACCACATCTGCTACAAAAGGTCCTCCTAGTTCTAACTTAAGTAGGGCAGAGTCATGAACATCTGTTAGATTCAGAGCTGAAGGTAAGCCAGTTAAGGGTGAAACTGAGTGTAAATGATATAAGATTGCATGAATTCTGGAAATACAGTATAATATTTAACATATGTATACAAAATATACCAGGCAGTCTCTCCAATGCAAAAGAAATCATTCACAGGATAAAAGACAAATAAAATAAAAATCCCTTTCTACAAAGTATACCTATCAGAGGTAGCAATTTTTTTAAAACTCCGTGCTGCTAAAAGAACCCTCCTAGTGTGGCTGAGAAAAGATGGAGGGAACTGTGTCACCACCTCCTCCCCACTTTAACTTAGAGGCTGTTTTGTTGCTGTAGACCTGTGCTAGTTGCAGAGGAAGTCAATCACAGAAGAAACTAAACACGAATAACATTTCCATCAATTACAACCTTGACTGAGACATTTGAAATCCCTGTTGGCATCTTCAGCAGGAGGCAGTTTTGTTCACAAGTGCTGGCAAATGTTGATTTGGAAACCATGTGGATAGCTCAATAATGATTTATTCTCAGGGTACAGCAGAAGTCAAGAAAGAACCAGAAATGCTAGGATGCATAAAGAAAGGGATACAGACCCTAAAAACACCATGCTGAAGTAATTAATCCACAAAAATACCCAATTGTTTCACAATTTCAAGAACGAAATGTCAGCACTGAGGACCCAAAGAGAGGCTTAATATCAAGCACAGAACGACGTTCTATTGACATCATAGCTTTTAGACAGCTCTTTAATGCATAGTGAAGGAAGATCTTCACTTCTAACAGTTCATGGAACACTTTACAAAGGGGCAGAACATATTGCAGTTTTTTTACAAGTTCATTGTACCTGGTATAAATGAATGTGAAAGATGTTTTGCTGCTGATACACTGAAGGGTTTTAAATAGAGGAAGAAAAACCATGACCTAACTAAATTTGTAAAGCCTTGTTCCTGCTATGTTAATATTTACAGTACAGCCCTTTATCCCACTTTTAATGAGCTCTAGTGAAATATCAAAGGTCATCCTGACGGACCATGCTCCAACTGTGTTCTAAGATGGGGTTTGGGGGAGAGGCGGGTTTCCTCGTCCTTTGGATAGCCAAAATTCCTACAGCTTTAAAAGAGGCAAAATGTCACACCTTCATTAGTACTTAGCAGAAAGCCTGAATGAGGCAGTGAACTACGCTCAGGCTTAAAAATAGATTTTAGCAGGTCATGGTGGCAATATACTGCCACTTTCAGAATGCATGCAATGCCCATGCTACAACCGTTTTCTGAAGAGAGCACTGAATTCATCAAAACAGTCAATCCAACACCATTTAGAAGCAAAGAATCCACTCCATTATTCCTTTTAACAGGATTAATTACATAAAAAACCCCAAAGAAATAATGAAAGAGGTCAGTAGATATTTCTTTAAACCCGTGCCAAACAGGAAAATATACATTCCCTCCCTATCAAACTTATTACTAATTCCTACCCTTGTCTTCAGTTTTCAAATATGGCTTGCCATCACATTTTTCAAACCCCAGCATAGTTGTACAAGTCTGTGTTGAAACCATATCAACAGCTTTAACAAGAGGCATTAATTGTTATCTTTCAAAAAGCTTGCTGACCTCTATTCATTAACCCAGTGACTCAGGGCACCTATGACAGCTTGAATGCCATTATGAGTGCAGCCAATAATTTATATTTCCAAAAAAATTCAGGTGAGCATAATTATGGCAGCTTCCTTTTACACAAAACTGTTAAAATAAATCCTGTAATTACATAGATGACACATTCAAAAGCCATTACAAAGAAGGCTCAAAATTAAAGGAAAAAGGAAACCTTTTTTAAAAGTTAAACACAGTAGTGCCTTCATACAAAACAGATTTTCTTCCAATAAAGTTGAAAATGCACAGATATTTTTCTCCCATTTTTCCATGTACATGTATAGCATCATCAGAAAGAATGCTAGCAAAAGTCATCACAAATTAAACTTAAGAATTTAGACTTGTGGCAGATGAGGTGCTTAAAACTAAAATCCCATTGGATTTAATTCCCTCTAAACAGAACTAAGGGAACCTGTTGTCATTCTACTTTTGTTGTATCAGAGCACAGCATATCCTTTATAAAAAGTAGAATCCAGTCTTCTCAAAACACCTTTGCTGTGAAAAACTTGAGCTGTGTTTCTCTGAGTAAATGTAATTATTTTCCTATCAAGGGATTTAATATTTTTTTTCATCATTCCTCAGAATTGAGCCTGAAAGTCATGAACATTCCTGCCCAACACACATACTACTACGACATTTAGGGTTGAATCCTGCAAGATACTAAACTCTTCCATCCTGATCCGGTGCTTTCACTATGGTACATGTCCAACTTCAAGAATGTGCCATCGCTCTTTGTTGGAAAGGGACCAGCATACTCAGTACCTTGCAAACTTTATCTGTGAGCATGAAATGTGTTCTAATGTAAGATGTGACCAAGAAGTGATAAACCAGATTAAGGAAGTTGCAAAGACAATGATCCCTGAAATAAAGAGTTGATTCTGTTGGGTTCTCTCTAAATACAGAGGAACAAATTACATTCAGAGCATATTCTTTGCATCTTAGATTTTTTTTTTCTTTTGTTCAGGGAAAGGAAACATCCTTTCTGATAATACCAATAAACATCTTTCCTCCAGCTCTTCATGGCAGTATGATTAAAACGTTTTACAGTGACCTCTGTTTGCTTCATGACTAACGTAGTTGAATTGATCATTCAATTAAAAATTCATGTACCTTCCGCTGGGACTCTGATAACTGCCATCTTCAGCTTTTCTCATTCTTTTTCTTCCCACTTAACATCTTCATTTTTTCAGTATCATCCCACATATGCAGAAGGATTCTAAATAGTTTTGTTGAAAATCACTAAGCAGAAATATCTGACATCACAATTTAAGTTTTAATATGTCATTAATAATCAGATGCATTCCTTCATTTCTCGGACTTGATCTCTTGATCCTAGACCTTGCAAGAACAGAATCCATCATTAAATCATTCATGCATGCCCTGAAGGAACATAAGTAATTATACAGTGAAAAGCAACACTTACTGGCTAATTTGAGAGAGATACTTGCTTTTTTCCTGATCTAAGCTTCATCTAAAACTCAGTTAGCTACAAGATGAGCCTTCAAACTATTTTCTCAGCAACAGAGAATATAGGGGAGCTGTTGAGGGGACTGTGGACAAGCAGATCTCAAAGCTGTTACGACTGACAAAGCAAAGGCAGGAACTGACAGCTGGACACTGGAAGGAAGGTCATGTGTGAAACTCACATCTCAGGTTTTGGAAGAATTTGGAGGAGTCTCAGGATTGCAATGCAAAGTAACATGAAAAGTTTCTCTCTAATACATTTATTACAGAAGCCAAATATTTCTAGTATTAAGAGGAGACATTACAATACAGACAATGGCAATACGTGCAGGAAGATAAAAGCAAGCACTGTATCAAACCTGCACAAACTCTTATTTAAATGAGGGTGAGGGCTGATTATGCTATAACTTATTAGCATACAAGAATTCCAATTACTTTTTCATTTCAGAAAGCCTACTTCTATAATAGTGCATTGATCTGTTCCAGCTCTCTGTGCTCCATCACCTGTATAAAAATTGAAAATTTTGCATAGGTCAGGGCAGAAGTTATTAAAATCAAAGCACAGGCAGGAAAGTAGAGTATATCCAGCATTTCAGAACATTCTACAGCATCCAAAATTATTTTCATTATAGGAGAAAGCAAGAGAAATTTCACTTGCCACTTTATGTAATTAAGAGACTCCTGTCACCTGGGTCACTGATGGCAGTGAAGTTACAGGAGGCCAAAAATCCTAATGTTTTAGGGTATTTCAGCCTACGCTGAGCACAGGCAGCATCTCTTCTGCTATGTTTATAATTCAGTTCCCTAAGGGGAGCTTCTTGTTAATTATCACTTGCAGTTAACATGTGGCCTTTTATTCAAAGATCTGAAAATGCTTCACAGACTTCCTTGGGAGAGTGTATTGAGCCTCGCTTCCTGCAAAAGAGGGCCCTGTTACCATTTAAAACACTTCTGAGCCAATAAAGTCACAGATGAAACACAGAACGGCAGCATCACCTTTTTTAAAAATGATACTAAATCTGTTTCATTGGAATCAGTGCTGACATAGAATCCCAATGCACATGCGATCAAAATGGCATTAAAATAAATCTTACCGATGTGGGAAATTGCCATTAACTTGCAAGGGTTTTCTGGTATTGCTTTGACAGCCTCAGCCTAGCCACCCCCACTGCTACATGCTACATGTGCATCGTCAGGGCAGGCAAAATCAAGAGAGAGGCTACCATTCTGGAGGAATAAGACCAAAGATGATGAGAGCAGAAAAAAATGCAGTTAAACTAGGTGAGAGACCACAACAGGAAACAAGCAAGAAAAGACTGAAGAGAAAATAGAAGAGAGTAGAGACAGTTGGGATGAGAAGCAAAGGCTTGTTCACTCACCCAGAAGAAATAATTCCCAACTGACAGTCAGAAAGGGGAGGCATTGCCTCCAGCCAAACTAATTCTGGTGCTGAGAAGTAGCAGGCATCACAGAGAAAATGTATCAAACAGAAAGGATGGAAAGAATACAAAGCTGGAAGAAAAGCAGGTTTTTTGGCATAAACCCCTTCCAATTTTGGTTTTATGTTGTCAGACCAACATGGGAGAGGAGAGAGAGAGAAAATTTGCTTAAGTATTGTCTGCGTGCCTGGCCAAAAATGAAGGAATTGGAAATACCATTTTAAAACATATATATATTGTTTCACCATTGGAATTACTTTCCACTGGAAGTTTTCCAGCATGCTGTAGCGAAAGAGGGGCAGGATGCTGATCAGTCTGCTTAAATTCTGATTCCCTTAGCATCCTCCATTAGCTACTGAGAGAGACAGGTACTAAGCTAGATGGACCAGAGGTTTGACCCAGTAGAGCACTTCTTATATTGTAGCATATATAAGCTCTGGATCGCTAGATAACTTGGATTTCAGGAAGTTCAGCTCTTTTTTATTTTACTCTCCAGTACAATTCATCTGAATTCACCCCACTTGTGGAGCAAGTAAAGGCTGTCCTACCCTATCATCCCCTTACATCTTTTCCCACCCTGTGATATATGAGGCCCTTTTTAAACAGAAGACAACACAGTCTTTGCTTCAAAGAACATATACATCCTACAAGGAGAATCACTCTACTGGGACTCTGCTCTATTCTTCCTAAATGTCAGGGACAAATTCAGCATCCCACAGAAACATCCCTCTATATGGGCCAGCCATTAATGGAAGATGCACCTATAAAAGAAGAGAACCCTATATATCCAATCCACAGGAAATTGGATATATAAGAGAAAAAGCATGCAATACTTGCTGTCAGGAATTGAACCAGAGAACTTCAGGCTATAAAGCACAATGTATAATAAACTTGAGCTATTTGTATCGTGCAGTGGGATACATGGGCTCCCCAGAGCACAAACCTGTCTTTCTGAGCTCTAAAAATCAAACTCACAACACTATAGAAATAATTTGTCAAATAATAATACAAATGAAGCACAATCATTCTAAAGCACAGCCAGTAGCAAGTCAGCAAAAACAAATACCTCACAGTAATATGTATAGATAACTTGAAAGCCTGTTCATACTTATTAATCTTTCTGATCTGTTGTATTTATTCATTTCCCATTGTCTAAATACTTAGACTTAAAGCCACGAAAAAATTATCTTCAACAGAAGAATATTGCTGCATTTAACCAATTATTCACTTGCAAAAAACAGTTCACATAAGTGGTAATACATTTCTGTGCTAATTCTTACTAATTAATTCATCAAGCCTTGTAATTAATCAAAGCTTCTGCTTAAATCATCCACCTTACTTAAATTTGCCTTAAAATATGGAAAATGCATTAGACAACAACAAAAGATACTGTCCATCATGTTTGTTACAGTTAAGGATTATTTATAAATGTTTTTTTAAATAGTTTAATTTTAATTTATACTAAGCATATCTTTTAGGGCACTAGTTTAGGCCTTTAATCTCACCAGGACCTTACGCTCCTCTTGCTCATACTTTGCATAATTTTGCAAGCCTTCATTTAACAATTCAGCTCCTTTTTCAAGACATAAGCAGAAGGCAAGTGGTATGCTTTATTATTATTTGGATGAATTACTTTGGAAATAGGTTGGTGAATTAACTACCTTTTTCACTTTAGATGCAGTTCTATTGTACAGTGTCAGACACTAAAAAAACACACTTTCAATATCTAAATTACAAAGCAACAAAGAAAACTTTTTATATAAATTTACCAATGAAACTGCAGTGCTGTTCTTATAAGCAAATATCTGATAAAGGATACAGTAGCTTTCCAAAGGTGACACAGCCAACATCTGCCAGGAGACTCCTTGATCTGGATAAGTGCTAAACAAAATCTATGAAAACATGCAAAAAGTCATACATTGAATTGTTAAAGAATTAGCAACATTTGCCCAAGCCATCTTAAAAGTATAAAATATTGCATTTTCCTTTATGATTCATGGAAGGCTTTTATAATTCACTACAATACATGAGCATGTTGTGAATACACAATGATCCTGTATTCACAACATATATATGTACATGTAACTCCAGATTTAAAACCAGGCCTGTGATCTATAAGGGCCACTGGTGTTGACGACATACTTTATCTTCCAAGCTCACACATTTTATTTATTTTAATCAAATTTTGATGATAAAGTTTTGAGCTGGTCTTAGAGGCGTATCTGAAAAGCCTATCTGTCCTAGCCGAGGGAATACAGCCATTGCCCACTGTGCCCTCTGATAGAGGAGTACTGCCAGAGTAAGATCCCTCATGAAGACAAGAGGGTAACTTTCTCCTGTCCAAAACAATTGCAACCCCAAGATTCATAGATATACATAGCAGTCAAGAACTTCACTCTAGCTATTCAGCAGCAAAGTTTCCTAAGGATGGAAACAGATGTCACCTTTTGTTCCCTTTGTGCCACTATAAAAATTCTTATGATGACACAAAGAGAAAGCAAATAGATGTCCATACCCTTTATCATGCTACAAATGTGATCCCAACAAAAGGTACTAATAATTTGTGCTGCTTTATTGTGGCAGATGTCTATTCACTTTATGGCAGGAGAGCATGGGCAGCCAGAGCTAGATGGGCAGCCACCCTGGGTAGGCACTCTCAGGGCTTGAGGGTGTTGGCCCTCAGATTTCCCATGCAAGATGGAGCCCCTTAAGCCTCAGAGGCACCTGCCCAACTTTCCCCTCTTCCAGAAATGTGCCACCAGGATCTCCAGGGCGTATCTCTGGAAACAGGGGAAGTTGGGGTTCCCTGCTGTCAGAGACACATCCTGGCAATCTCTTGGGCACATGTCTAGAAGCAGGGAAAGACTTTACCCACTTCCAGAAATGTGTCTCTGGCAATCTCCAAAGTGTCTCTCTAGAAGCAACATCTATTTCTAGCTTGAGTTACAGATGCCTCCCTGCTCTGCCTCTATCTTCCATCTGTCACAACAGTGTAACTGCTGCTGAATCTGAATCAATGCCTTTCTGCATGCTCTTTCTCTGTTCTTCAGAGATGCAGAGGAACAAAGAGCTAGGTCCTATTCCACCTACAAGGCACTTAAATGTGATCCTATTTCACATTGCTCATGCTCTTAAAAAACCTAATACAATGACATGGGGCCTCCTCTGCCATACTGCCTTTCTATGACTTAGTTTTAAGGCTAAGATAACTGCATGTTACAAAAATAGATGTATTTTACAACAAAGTTGTAATTTGTTTTAAGGAACTTCAGGGAAACATGATCTCAGTGTGGATTAGGATTACACTTTGATGCTTAACAGGTGGTATAGGACCTGGCTCTACATGTGCCTTTTTTGTCATTCTCACAGCAGTCAGGAAAGAAAGCATAGAACAATTCTGGATCTGGCTGATTCGCAATGCTCAGTTGGATCAGTTTGCTGAATATGCCCAAATAGAGCAATGATGATGCAACAGAGAGTCAGACAATCCAGGAGGAAGGAAAATGAGCATCTTGAATGAGAGACTAAGAGGAGCAAACTAGATTCAAGCAATGAGAAGATAAAGCCACTGCAAGGAGTAAAGAATGCATTGAGGAGCTGGAGATGAGGGGTGGGAAGCACATATGAGGGCTTATAAGAAAGAGAGACACCAGGTGAAATGTTTTGCATGGAGAAAAAGAGATGAGAATATTAGAATTCAAGTCAAAGATAGAGGAGGAAAGGAGGCAGAGGAAGAAGAGAAGTAGAGAAGAAGTAAAAAGACAGACATATAGGAACTAGAAATATGGCATGAGTCAGGATGGAAGGGTTCAAGGAGAGGATGTGTTTCAAGTTTGATTCTGTGAGATCTAGCTAGAAAATATAGCTGTTTCTAACGCTGCCTATGTTAAGAAATCCCATGATCCTTCCAGCTTTATTTTATTCTTGAAATAGGAATAAATGCTATGGACCCTTGATGGCTGCTAGCACTTCTCTGCCTGATGAGAAGTGCTACAGCCACCTATAGTTTAATAACCATTAGGCACAACAAGCAATCCATTAACAGTTTTTTGGGCCTCTTTCCACTCTGCCAAAAGTTCCACATAAATTTGAGGGGAAAGGAAAGGCATTTATTTGTAAGACATTTTGACCAATGAAGGTCTAAGAATGTCTTCAATTTTAAAATAGTACTTGAAGTAGTACTTGGAGACCCATCCCAAAATTATTTTGCAGCCATTAGACACATTTATACCAATGATCTGAACATGCCTCTTCAAACTACACTCCATAATCCCTTCTAATGTTAGCTAGCCCTCCAGATAGTTGTCTGAATAGACCATAAATCTGCTGCTTTCTTTTACGAAGATAGAATTTGCACTTTAAGTGATGATACTTCCAAAATCAGTACATTGACTTAATTCTTTAAAATTAGCAAACAGAAAAAAATGTTGCAAATCCAGTACTTACAGAGCACACAACGACAAAGATAAAAAGGCCCAAAACTTTTAGGAATTTTAAACAGCATCTGAAATGTAAGAAAATATGTTTTTATTGAAACATTATGAACAAAGGTCATTTGTATTCTATTAGTGTCTGTGCCTTCATAGGGGTTAGACAGATGTAACAATTATATCAATGCCAAAGATATTACAGGCTGTCAGGATACAACCTGTACATCAACATGATCCTATAGTGATACAAATGTAGCAAAACCTTGTTACATTCAGACTACCTACAGTCATTACACTTTTACCTGTATAAGTGATCAGAAGCTGGTATATACCTGTAGCAGAACAGAAGTATGGCACACAAAACTGATCTATGCTTATAAAAGAACAAACGTTTGGCACACACAGACTAATTTAAAAATGGCAGAACCCAGTCTAAGTATCCCCTAGAGGCAAATGTGTGTTCTGTTTGCTACCAATCTAAACTACGCCACTTACAGAAAACTGCATCATTTATACTGATTCCTTCTTGAGCTTTTTAAAAGTTTGTACATTCAAAAATGTTTGAATGTCTTTGGCTTCAGGATCAAAGTTAGAGTGATTTAGCTAACTAGTCTAAGTATAGAATTAGGCAGCTGTAACATTTACAATATAATAGCTGATGCATACTCTCCTAGCAGCAGCTCCCTCTTCCCTTTAAAGTGGTTAAAACAGGGGTCAGCAACATTTTTGGACAGAGTGCCAAAAACACCCGCAAACTTGGCTTGCAAGATGGTGTGCCAGGTAAAGAAGGTGAGGGAGCTACAAGGGGCCCAATCATTATTGCAACAGTGGAGCACTGGCCCCTTCCCTGCTGCCTGCCCTGAGGTGCACGTGCCAAGTAAAATGCCTTCATCTGCCACACGCTGGCACCTGTGCCGGTTGTTGCCTACCCCTGGGTTAAAAGATACGTTGAATGAGTAGTCTGAGAATTTAGCGTCCCAAACAGTGGTGAGAACTCGGTAACATACAAATAACCATCAATAATCATGAAGGGCCCCAATTTGTAGATCTTAAAAGTACAAAGCTATTTTTTCACTTCAGTGAAGTTTTCTTTGCATAAGAACTCATAGAGTGGGCCTTGAATGCATTCTACTGATTTCTTAAAAAGTGTGTGGCAGGGCACTGGTTGTGCCTGCCACTTTAAGGGCCTGGAGCTGGCAGCCACCAGGTGCCTGATGAGGGCAACCATTATAAACTGCCATTATAAACTGCCCATATAAACAAGGCAGTTCAGCTGTGAGAGGCCAGGCAACAACATCACCTAGCCGGAGGGCTGCTGATATCATCTGGAGGAAAGGGAGGAGCTGTAGGGGATGGTCAGGAGGCTCCTGGTCCTGGGCATGACCTATAACTGCACCCTGCTGGGAGTGGGTGGCCTGGTGAGGCTCCTAGTGGTGCGAGAGCCCCCAGAAAATGCCAGGCCAGTTACCACCCTGGTGAAAGGTGGGTCAGGCACCTTAACCCCTAGCCCCCACAACCAGGTGGGTTACCCCTTTGTTGGAGAGTTGGGAAGGTGGACCCCCACAGAGAGAGAAAAGGCCATAGACTCATGCCTGTCTGGACTTCCCCTGACTGGTCCATGATGGGGCCAGGACCGGAAGAGTCGAAGGGCCAGGGGCCCACCGCGAGGAACGCCCAAGAGCTGCCCGCCTGGGGTTCTGACTGGCCTGAAGGTGGGCCGGGGCTAGTGAGCCGAAGGTCCCAGTGGGGGGATCACACCCAAAGGGGAAGTGGTTCAGGGAGCTATGTTGCCCGGTATGACAGCGAAAGAGACCGCCTGAGGGGAGCAATCCAGGTGGGGTTCAATGGTAGGATTCTGGGGCCCAATGTGGGGGCCGGTGATAATGAGAACATCTAGATGCCTTCTGCAAGGCTTGGGCTGTGGTGTAAGGGAGGAAAGGAGCTGCAGATAGCACCCCCTGGCATCGGGGCAGAAAATGGGCAGCCTCCTGTGTAATTACATCTTTAAATTATTAATTAACAACAAGGCATGGTGGGCGAGAAGGTGGGTGGTTAGCCCAGGAACAGGTGGGTGGGCCACACTGAGATCAGCCCCGAGCAGGCCCCCTGTTATAAAGAGCATTAGCCAAAATGGTTTCTCCAAAATGTGACCATCTCTAAACATTACTCCTAAAGTATACCCTGGAAAGACATGGAAATGGCTATAATCCTGCCCTTTGTTGTGCAAAGTTGGACTTTTACACACCACCCTCCATTAATTTTAGTGACCCCTGTATTGAACCGGTTGTAGTAGCTGGGATCAAATCTGGAGATATTTCTGTTTTAGAATTTAATGTATGCCTGCTATCAAAATATGCACGCATACATCTTTTTCAGTGTCATTTATTATTTAAAGAAGTAGATTGGTCAGTTCATCTTGCCAGAATTAATATTAAGTTCCAAATAACAAATCAATTGGGGAAAAAAAGAAAGGAAGAGTCAAATGTTTTTGGAAAGGGGGAACAGACATTCCAAGTTTCTCAAGGAGAAAAAAAAAGGATTTCTTTAAAAGTATCTTCTTAAAAGCAGTGTCTCAAATTTCTCTAGTTTCTGAACATTCACAGATGAAGTGGCTACCACAGACTCTGCTGGGTTTTTCATTATGGTTTTATTTATTAGTTTCACCGTGTATCTGTGCACAGTGGACAAATGCTTGTATTAAAACAACTCAGTGCCATGAAATGTTCCAGAATTGCAAAATAGTGTTACATCTTTTGGTAAGCAAGGCTTATTTAATACCAATTTTTCTGCTTAAAAAAATGTGCATGTACCAGTAAGTATTCTAATGATTTATCATTAGAATAAGTTGGTTTTGTCATTTGTCTCTATTAATTCATTGTTAATTGAAACATGAATCTCTCTCTCTCCCTGGCATTCTATCTAAAGGCAAAAACATTAAGACATTTCCCTGCCTCCCTGATAGCATGCTAAATCAATGGGTGGCTTTAAAAATGAAGATGACAAGGGGAAAAAAAAAGACATTTCCTTGGGAGAAATGGACAAATAAGCTTAGAAGAGAACAGTCCAATAAATAGTTTCATCAACAGAAAAACATTGTGTAACCAAAAATTAAACTAGATTAGTTTAGATAGATTCAGAAATCATTTCTGAATCCCAGTGGAAATAAATTCCCTGCCTCAAATTCATTGGTACTTGTGGGAGAATTAGAAGATACCTTGCTGACTTGAGTATATTTTTGCCAACATCTAAAAAAATAATGTTTTTATCTTTCTCCTTCTTCATCTAATCTGAATTATGATGGAGGGTATAAACAAATGTGCACGTGTAGTGAGTTCAATAGGGGAAGAAGAGGTGCTGCTGCTCCAGACCACACAGCAGCCCTACCGTGCATAATCCTACAGCAATACACATGAGCTAAATCACTCCAGCTTTGATCCTTTATGATGCAGGGTTAAAGTTGAAGTGATTCTGCTACCCATACATGTATAGAGTTTTCAATCTTAATCATTTGCATCTATCCAAACTATGAGATAAATATAGCATCAAATCAGAACTGTAGGATGTTACTTATACATTGCACAGATTTAAAGAATAACATGAGACAGAGGGAGCTTTTGATACAAGTCTTCAAATATCTGACGGGTGGTTATATGGAAGATGAAGATGGGCTATTTTCTATGGCTGCAGGGGACAGGGCACAGATAAAAGGTGCTGAATTGCAGCAAGGAAATTTAGGTTGGCTGTTAGGAAGATCTTTCGCCCTGTGAGGGTGGTTAAGCTTTGGAGCAAGCCACCCAGAGGGGCTGTGAGATCCCCAACCTTGAATGGTTTTAAGAGCAGGTTAGACAGACACTTGGCTATGATTGATTAGTCGAATATGATCCTGCCTTGAGTAGACCTCCCAAGGTCTCTTCCAACTTTACAGTTCGGTGATTCTAAGCAAAGGTGGCAGAAAAGCGGTTTCTTTTAGAAACAAAACATTCCAGTCTACGGGGGAAAAAACGAAATAAGCAAAAGAAAAAAGAGCAATGGCCAACTTTTAATCACAAAAGCAATTGTCAGTGCCTCCAGATTGATAAATATGTGAAAGCTACAACTAAGCAGGTTGTGTGGAAAATACCTGATATAGATTTATTCAATTATAAATGTCTCTCTCTACCGATTATTCTCTCCATCTATAAGCAGAAAACGAATATTTTCTTAAACTTACTATCTTACAAATTTTTAAAGCCCTGTAGAGATTAAAATTAGATGTAATGCATCTGATACATTTTCAGGCTGCACTTTCAAATGATGTTTCAGTAGCTCATACTGAAACAAGAAACAAGATGACAGGTTCATTTTAAGCTACAATAGAAACCAGGAGCACTAATTGAGCCTTTATGAGTCCATAACTACTCATCTGTAAGCAACAAATTCATCCTGAAATGCTGACAAGATATAATATAAAGCTTTTGAAAGTGGTTATTTTATTGATTAAGTGTAGCATTTCAAAAGGTTGTTGTTTGTTTGCCTGGCTGTTTTGGCACTCTATTGCAGAAGCAGTTTTCTAAGAGCTTACAAACAGGATATGATCATCTACTGACTTAACCATATTTAGAAATCTGTGCCTGGCTCCGCAAATATAATCTGGCACAGCAATGCAAGTACAAATTCTGTGCCAAATTCTTTGCTGATTTATGCCTCCAGCACAATCCCATTGGACTACAATGGGGCTGCATGTATTGTATATTTGTGCAGAATTTCACTCTCCATTTTTAATCTTAATCCTTTGGAGACAGATCCTCATCTAGAGTAAACCAGCATAGCTCAGTTAACTCCAGCCAACTTACTCCAGCTGAGGATATGGGCCTTTATGTAGCTGCAGCAATACTGGACTGAAAATCTCTCTCAGCAAACCCTGCCAGGACAGTATAGGACTTTCCCAAATGTAAAGTTCTGCTGCACTGGAAAGTATTGATTAAATAAATAAAAAAACCCAAAGCAGGACCACAATAAAATAAAATATTAGCTCTAGTGGCAGGTACTGCAAAAAACAACGCTGTGCAGTTGTCAGCTTCTGTTCAAGCTGTAA